TGCTCAAACCTCCTCCCCCTCCTCCTCATCTCCCCCTCCTCCTCACCCCATCTCCTCCTCCTCCTCTCCCCCTCCGCCTCCTCCCCCTCCTCCTCCTCCTCCTCCTCCTCCTCCCCCTCCTCCTCCTCCTCCTCCTCCTCCTCCTCCTCCTCCTCCCCCCCTCTTGTTCGACACCGCCCAGTACGACCCCGCAGCGAGCACGCCCCGCAAGATCCGGACACCAGGCCCGCTCGGGCCGCACGTGCGGCGCGTGCAGCGGATCCGGGCGAACGCCGGCTCCATGCATCAGAACTCCTCCGAGGCCAAAGAGGAGGAGGAGGAGGAGGAGGAGGAGGAGGAGGAGGAGGAGGAGGAGGGATGAGGAGGAGGAGGGGAGGAGGGGGAGGAGGGGGTAGGAGGAGGAGGAGAGGAGAGGAGGAGGAGGAGGAGGAGGAGGAGGAGGAGGAGGAGGTATCACCAGTCGGGGCCTTGACCTAAGGAACCCTAAATAAGGAACGAGGCCCCTTTTCTCCATAAGTTAACCCTCGGTTTCCTATCGAAAACCTAAGGGAAGCCTGAGGCAAGCTGCGAACCACTTAAGGAACGCGGAGCCCCTCCCCAACGAAAAGGGTTCCTTCTCCAGGGCCCCGACTGTATCACCAGAACCCCTTCGGGACTGAGCACATACCGCTAGGACCCTCTCGGGGCCAGGACAAGAAGCATGAGAACTGCCTCCCGCCAGCTGCAGGTGGCATTTGCTTGGCCGCGAAGCCCCCGCGGTGGCATGACGATCTCACCGACGATCTCACCAAGGAGCACTGCAGGACACCGACGGGGCATCGACAGAACCAGCGCTCAAAACGACCTCACAGCGAGCGGCCCTCAGGAGGGCCCCGCCGGGACACCAGCGGCAATCGGGACACAATCAGAACGCCAGTGGGCCAATACGTGCCACCGTGTCGTCAGGAGCTTCGCCAAACTTGTAGGAAAGGCACGTGGCAATGGAGGCGGCGATAATAGCAATGAGTACTCGCACCTTTTTCACCCAAGCCTCGGCTGAACAGAGCCTGGCAAGACGTGCGATCAATTAATCGCTCTGCCTGCTCCTCCGCGCCCGCCGCTGTTCGAGCGCGCGCTCTTTGCGCTTGCAAAACTGGACGTCGCCGCATCCGCAATGAAGACAGACCCACACGGAAACCCGATGCTGACCGATCGCGCGGCAGGGCTGAGAGACGCACTTCTGCACCCCGCCACGCCGGCAATGCCGTCCCCAGGCCGCGCGCGCCTCGCAAAAGCGCTGCGGCTGCGTTCCCGACACTTGGCCCGGCAGAGCCTTGGCCGGGCCGATGGCAGGCCACCAGAACCCAAGTTTGCAAAGTTGCCTGGCAACATGTGCACAGACCGCGCGCGCGCGCACACGCACGTAAGCCGTCTCTGTAAACCGAGGGCCCCCTCGAAAAGCACATATGCCGTGCGGCCCCCTGGCGTTGAACAAAAGGAGCTGATGTTTCACGGCGTGTGTTTTCATCTGGTCGGCGGCGAAGTCACGCGTCCACAGGCGGCCACCACTGAAACGCCCCACCGCGATCAGCGCAGCCTGGCCCACGTTCTTCGGGCCTTCATGCATACCTCCAGGCTGCAAAATGGAAGCAGCAGCACATGCTGGCGAACGAAGCTGCCGAGAACTTCGTGAGGACACGCTGCTGCCACTGCTGCTGCACCCAAGGAGCTACAAGCGAGCCTCGGAAGTGGACAGCCCTTCCTCTCCGACGGACGACGGCGTCGGCGACTCAGGGGCCTGTCAAAGGCGACTTCGGTAGGCCAAGGCATTGCAGCCGCGGGTCGAGGCATCCTCCGCTCTCCCTTGCCTCTCCCCGGATCTGGGAAAATCCTGATTATCACGGTCCTGGTTCGGCTACACGCACAAGTGACCCGAGACAAGGGTGATCTTTGGTGCGCGGCTCCCAGGGGGCCGCGGGAACGGCCAAATCCAAGCGCGCGAGCCAGTGCTCGGGGAGGTCCTGTGGGCCCGCCCTGAGATCCGACGTTATGACAGAAAATGCAGCACCGTGAGAAGCCACGACCAGACCCATAGACCCCATCATTCTGCAGCATTTTCCGAGCTGGAGGAGGAGGAGGAGGAGGAGGAGGAGGAGGAGGAGGAGGAGGAGGAGGAGAAGGAAGAGGGAGGAGGGGAGGAGGAGGAGTTAGGAGGGAGGAGGAGGAGGAGAGGAGGAGGAGGAGGAGGAGGAGGAGGAGGAGGGAGGAGGGAGAGGGGGGGGAAAGGGGCTGGGGCGGGGCCCAGGACCCGGCCAAAACGCCTGGTGTGAAAAATCTGCAACGCCCGGATCTCGGGCATCGGGGGTCGCAAGCCGATCCCCGGACCTCTCCTGGGAGGCGTCCTGCCCGAAAGCTCGGGGCGGAGCCGGCCTTGGCCACGAGGAGCCTCGCGGAGGCTCCAAACACGTCGAGCAAGCCCGCGCGCTCGCGCTTCGAGAACCTCGAGCTTCGACCGAAGCACACCCCAGCGGAAGGTCAGCCCTGCCCCGGCTGGCTTCCGGGGCGCTGCGCTGGGCGACGGCGATGAAGGGGCCCTGAGACACACACACACACACACACACACACACACACACACACACACACAGACACACACACACACACACACACACACACACACACACACACACACACACACACACACACACACACACACACACACACACACACACACACACACACATAACTAGACACCAATAACAGGATCCCCCATCTTTCCGTATCTTTCCTTGGCTCTTGTCCCCCCCCCACTCCCCACATTATCCCATCTGTGATGGGGAGTCGAGGACTCATCGCGTCTGTGTGCTTCTTTCCCTCCCGAGGCGGCCGGCGACGCCCGGGCGGCGCCTGCGTGCTCACGCCCGAGCGCGAGGTCGGCGGCGGGCTGCGCAGCGCGTCGGCCGGGCTGCGGGCCGCGGGACGACAGCGGCCCGCCTCGTCCGGGGCCTCGCGGCCGCGGGCGGCGCCGTCGCCGCCGCCGCCGCCGAGGTCGTCGTCGTCGCCGTCAGCGCCGCCGCCGTCGCCGTCGCTGCCGCCGCCGTCGTCGTCGCCGTCGGCGCCGCCGCCGTCGACGTCGCCGCCGCCGCCGTCGAGGTCGTCGCCGCCGCCGTCGCCGTCGCTGCCGCCGCCGTCGCCGCCGCCGTCGCTACCGCCGCCGCCGAGGTCGCCGCCGCCGTCGCCGCCGTCGCCGCGCGGTCGTCGCCGCCGCCGCCGCCGTGGCCACCGCCGTCGATCGACCAGGGACCGAGGCTCGAAGTTTCTGCGCGTGCTGAGAAAAGTCTGTGGAATAAACACACAAAAAAAACACAGTCTCTGGAAACCACACACACACGCACACGCACACGCACACGCACACGCAAACGCACACGCACACGCACACGCACGCGCACGCGCACGCGCACGCGCGCACGCACGCACGCACGCACGCACGCACACGCACGCACGCACGCACGCACGCACGCACGCACGCACGCACGCACACGCACGCACACACGCACACGCACGCACGCACGCACGCACGCACACACGCACCACACGCACGCACGCACGCACGCACGCACGCACACACGCACCACACGCACGCACGCACGCACACACGCACACACACACACACAAACACAAACACACACACACACACACAGGCGACATCCAAGGCTTCCACCAAAACAAATCTACTTCCTCCTCTTCCTCCTCCTCCTCCTCCTTCTCCTGCTCCTCCTCCTTCTTCTCCTCCTCCTCCTCCTCATCCTCCGCTTCCTCCCCCCACTTCTAGCCTTTTCGATCAGGGTCGGCGGCACCGGCCGTCAGGCCTCTCCAATCCAAAGCTTCTTCCAAGACAAATCTATCCTGGACAGGTCGCCGGCGCTGCCGCCAGCGCCTCTGGAGGCCCTTGGATTCGGCGGCAATCGGCGGCCTTCGGCGGCTTTCTGGCCTCGATCGTCGTCTTCGTCGTCGTCGTCGTCGTCGTCGTCGTCGCAGTCGCCGTCACCGTCCTCGTCGCTCTGGAGCAGGACCAGAACCAAAGCCGGCCCGAATCGGAACCGCTCGAAGCGGTGCCGAAACCAAGCTGGGCCGAAACAAGGCCACGCACCTTCGAACAAAAACGGACCCAAATGAACTGGCTTCATGCTACCAGTTGCGATTTGCTTCGCCTCCTGGCCACGCGGACCCGTTTACGTAGCCCCGTTGATATAGCAGCACGTCTGATATAGCCCCGTTGATATAGCCCCGTTGATATAGCCCCGTTCAGGAAAGGTCTTCGACGGCCCCGTTGACATAGCAGCACGTCTGGGCAACCTGCTGCACAAGGGACAAAGGTCGCGCACTGCATCACAAGTCCGGCGGGTCTGCTCGCCCGCGCTGTATTAGATGCTCGTTCTGGGGACCTTCCTGAAGCCACTCGCTCCACTCGTGCGTCGAAGCTGCGTCGAAGCTGAGTAGAACCTGAGTCGAACCTGAGTCGAACCTGAGTCGAACCTGAGTCGAACCTGTGTCGAACCTGAGTCGAACCTGAGTCGAACCTGAGTCGAACGGATCCATTAGGTGGGCCCCAAGAAGGTCCCCAAAACGAGCATCGAACACTGTATGTTATGAGCTACGCCTCTGCGAACACCATGCTTGGCCATGGGATGTGGTGCGACGCCTCGCCGGGGGAGCTGACAACATTGTTCAATGCTCTACAGACGACGACAATGAAGTCGGCCTGTCCCTCTAAAAGGGGACTTGGGAGGAAAAATGAAAAATAGTTAAAACAAATACTTCAAAGTGGACAAGAAATAATCAAAAAGTAGTCCCCATAATATGTTTGGACTATTTTTGAATGTTCCCCTTGTAGGGGGACAGGTCCGACTTAAGACGACAACGGTGCCCATCCAGTAGTGTCCTTCAGACGTGCAACCAGGAATTGAACTCACTTTCCAGCCCATGGCTTCTCCCACGAAAACGCCCAAGACAGTGTTCCACGCTTCCGCAACCAAATCTTTCCATGCAGCCACGCGCTGGTCTCCTCGATCCACCAGCCTGCCACTGCGTCGGCAATGGCTGCGGCAACCTGCGCTGGAACATTGCGGCCAGCTGCATAGAACAAGGCGCTTAGTTTAGATTTCAGCAAGAAAGTCAACGACGCACGACTCGTCCATGACAGCCGTCTTCGCAAGAATGCTGCGGCCGGCAGCGGAGCTGCTTGCGTATGAGCGATCACCCATGCGGCCCGTTCCCTTGCCTCCCTCGCCTGCCTCTCTTTTCGGGCGACGCTCAGCGGCCCTCGTCGGGCAGCTCCCACCACTCCTGGCCACCATCGTAGCCCGCCTGCGCCGCCCGCAGCTCCGCGGTGACCCTGTCGGGGCCCCAGCCCACGGCTTGCAGCAGCCACCCGCACAGCGTCTTGGCCTGCGTGGCGGCGCCGGACGGGTCCGCCCTGGCGGCGGCCACCTGCCCGCGCCACGCAGCGACCTCCTCGGAAGAAGAAGAAGAAGAAGAAGAAGACACGGCATGAACACAAACTCCAGGAGAGGTGGGAAGGGGAGGAGGAGGAGGAGGAGGAGGAGGAGGAGGAGGAGGAGAAGGAAGAAGAGGAGGAGGAGGAGGAGGAGGAGGAGGAGGACCCCCAAGCAAGGACAATGCTAGGATGCAGTGTTTTCAAGTCGTCGGGCGAAAGCCCGTTGCCAGTCCCGTCTCCCCCGTCTCCTGGTGCCGCCACGAATCGCGCTGCCGCCGTCTGGGAACTAGCCATTCCCAGGCATCCGCAGACGGCGCTGGCGCGAATCGTGACGTTACCGCTGGCTCCCTGCCCACTCCCCCTTCCCCCCCGCTCCCCCTTCCCCCGCTCCCCCCCCCCCCCCCCCCTGTAACGCCCGTTCTCGCCGAGGGATGCAAAAGTGGCACCTAAGCGCTTACCAGGACTTCGAACGTTCCAGTTGGAGAGAACGAGCAAAGGAGAACGTTTCGAACCACGGCCGGAATTTTCGCGGGCGCGCCCAAGCCCTGGCTTTTCAAAGTCCCCGTTCAGAGGGCCCTGGTAAGTTGTCGCGCTGGGCCCCCTCCCTGGCGCGCGTGGCGTGCCAGGGGCGGCGCCAGCGGCGAAGGGCTTCCGGCGCAGGTCCCAGAGATCCGCGCGGACCTCCGAAAGTGTGTGTGACTGTGTGTGTGTGCCTATAGAGGCTAGATGGGGTCCGAGTAGATGGGCTCGGAGGATCGCGCCGCATCGGCGATGCATCGGCGATGCACCGGCGACGTATCGTCGACGTGGGCGATGCATCGGCACCGTCGACGTGGAGCAGCTCGGGCTCCGCATCGAGCCGCATCGCCGATGCACGGGCGATGCGGCGCGATCCTCCGACCCCAGCTACTCGGACCCCATCTCGGAGGCCTAGAGGTCATGCCTTTGCCTCTTCGGCGGTGGACAAACCTCCCTTTAGTAAACCACTCCTTGGTGAAAGCGGCCCAGCCAAGACCGAAACCGACGGACCCGGACCCGCAAAAATGACGGCCGCGACGCCCTCGCGCGAACCGAAAACGGCCAATTCGCTAATCACTCGACTCGCCAGGGTACCCTGAGATCCGACGTAGCGAAAAAAATGCGACATCGTGACAATCCGCGCCCAGAACCCTGGACTCCATCTTTCTGCGTCATTTCTCGAGCCGGATCGATCTGTGAGGGTCCCGGCGGGCGAAAACGCCCGGCCCGAAAAAAATAGTCGCCAGGATCTCAGGGTAATTAGGAGGTCCCCCGACGTCGTGAGAAACTCACGACGTCGGCCCCCCGAAGTCTGGAGACCTTCCCTGGAACCAGTTTTTCATCCCGAGTCGTTTGTTGACGCTCCCGAGGCCGAAAATTGTCAAACACCTTCGTCGTGAATTTCTCGCGACGTCGGAGGTCTGGGTCCATCAACCTCCGCTTTCTTCGGCTCCTCGTCGGAGTCCCCCTTTCCCCGGAACTGGTTTTGCATCAAGAGTCGTTTCTTGACGGTCCTGGGGCCTGGCGAGGGCCTCTAGGGGTCGAAAAAATAGCGAAAAACTTACCGTCCCGATTATATTTTTACGACGCCATCCTGTCTGGGTCTATCAACCTCCGCTTTCCTCGGCTCCTCGTCGGAGCCCCCCGCGCGCAGGAGGTAGGCCTCGCCCACGTCCTGCGACGCCTCCTGGGCGGCCGCAGGCCCCGGGCCGCTGGCGGGCGTCCCGACGGCCACCACGCCGGTCCAGGAGCCGATGCCCTCGTTGAGGCGCCTGCCAGAGGCCCCAGGCATGATGGCGTCGTGAAAACAACATCGGGACGGGAGGTTTTTCACTACTTTCGGCCTCTAGGGGCCCTCGCCGGGCCCCAGGGCCGCCAGACAACGACGCAGGATGAAAAACCGGCCCCGGGGAAAGGGCCCGCACTTCCGGGGACGCCGTCCTGAAAAAGCCAGGGCGTGATGGTCCCAGACATGATGGCGTCGTAAGAAGCCCCAGGCATGATGGCGTCGTACAAAAAAATCGGGACGGAGACTTTCACTATTTCCGGCCTTTAGAGGCCCTCGCCGGGCCTCGGGACCGCCAAAAAACGACTCAGGATGAAAAATCGGCCCCAGGGAAAGGGTCGGGTCTTCCCAGGACCCCGGATTGAAAAAATCACGACATCGGATCTCTGGGCTTCTAGATGAAGAAAAAACCACGTAAACAGAAACTTTTGGCGCTCCGCGTGGAGCGCCAAAAGTTTTTCCCTCATTCGAATTTCTGTATTTTCTGTAATAATGTGCGTTATGGGGGGGGGGCGGGGGGGGTATAATGTAATGCCTCCCCCCCGCCGTGTGCCCGATGCGCATAGCGGCAGTGCCGGGAGCGCGTTACAGTATAGGGGGGAGGGGGGGCGTTACAGTATAGGGGGGAGGGGGGTCGGGGGCTATAATGCCCATTATGCCCCAAGCAATAAAGAAACACGCTCCTGGGCGAAGGCTGGCAAACCCGTAGCTGCAAAAAGTGAGCCCCGGGAAATTGTAATCTTCTTCCGGGAGGCAGCCTGTTTACTACTCATAGCGCGCCGAGCCTCACGCTGGGAGTCTTTTTGTCCGTCTTCCAGGGAGGCCGCTTCAGCAGCCACGGATCTGCAAGCCCTCGCCCAGCTTCCGAGCCTCGCGAAGTTCACGCAGTCGGGGTCCAGGGGCACCCACGCGGAGCCGTCCCAGACCTGAGCTATGCTGCACCCTCGGGGGGGGGGCCTCCGTGTCCCGTCGCGGCCCTATGCGAGGCGGCCGCGCGCCGCGCAGGCGCGGGGCTGGGCGCCGAGGATGCGCATCCGCCCGACTGGAGGTGGAGTTTCCTCCTGCCTCCTCCTCCTCCTCCTCCTCCCTCCTCCTCCTCCTCCTCCTCCTCCTCCTCCTCCTCCTCCTCCTCCGCCGCCCTGTCCCTGTCGCGGACCCGTGCCGAATCCATGCCGCCCTCGTCGGGTCGGTGTCGAATCCGTGTCGAATCCGCGTGGAGTCCACGCCGAAGCCGCGTCGAGCCCGCCGCGAGTCCGCGTCGGGCACGAGAAAGGACACCCATTTCGGGGACAGGCGAGGTCCCCCGAAGACGCAACGTAACCTGAGACGAAGCGGAGGCGGAGGAGGGGGATGGGGAGGAGGAGGAGCAGGAGGAGGAGGAGGAGGAGGAGGAGGAGGAGGAGGAGGAGCAGGAGGAGGAGGAGGAGGAGGAGGAGGAGGAGGAGGGAGGACGGAGGATGGAGGATGGAGTAGGAGGAGGAGGAGGAGGAGGAGGAGGAGGAGGAGGAGGAGGAGGAGGAGGAGGAGGGAGGAGGGGGAGGCGCACTGAGGTCCAGCAGCTCGGGAGCCCGTGCCGGGCGCCGCGGCCGTTCCGGAGCGCTCTCCAGAACGCTCCGAGAGCGCTCTCGGAAGGCTCGGGAGCGTCACGTCCCGGGCCTGGGCCGCCCGAAGGCGTAAATCGGGCCTGTCCCTCTACAGGGGGAATATTCAACAGTAGTCAAAAATAGTCTGGGGATGATTTTGGGCTTTTTTTTTGGGGGGGGGGAGCAATTTTGGAGCATTTTTGGGGTACTTTTTATTTTTCGTCCAAAATCCCCCTGTAGGGGGACAGGCCCGAATAAACCGAAGGCCTCCGTCCACACGTGGTCCCAGTCCAGCGGCAGGCAGACGCGCAGCCGGACCCCCAAGTAGCTGGCCAGCCACTTCTTGAGGTCCTCCTGTCGCGGGGATGCATGTTAAGACTCGGGTGCGGGGGACCCTGACGGGGCCACCATGACAATGGCGAGGCCCAATCTGAAATCTGACGCGAGCTCCCGCTGCAGACATCCCACGAGAACTGGACCGGCAAACTCCATGACGCACTCGTCAAAAAACGTCGGCAAACCCGAGTTCCGGCTTGCTCGAGTCTTGCGCTTCCCCGATCCTGCTCGCCGCACAGGCGGCCCCAGCGCGCAGGCCTGAGCCAGATCGCATCGCGAAGTCGGATCGGCTCGGGAACGGATCGCATCGCCAAGGAATCGCCCCCCAAACCGAACCGACATCGAATCGCCGCGCCCGGCTCTGGCTGGCCCTGGCCGATGCTGGTGAGCTGAACCGAGTCGAACTGAATCGGCATCGCGGCCCAAGCTGGCGAATCGAGTCGCATCGAGTGGGATCGCAGGCGGCCCTGGCGGCCCGGCCTCAGCGTCACCTCGGGGTGCGAGGCGCGGAACCAGCGTGAGGAGGCGCCGCAGTCGGGGCACCGGTAGACGAAGGCCACGGGGCCGCGGGGTCCCCGGAACCATCCGCTCCGCACGAACGGGCGCTCCTCGTCCGTGGGCGGCTCCTCCGTGAGGTTCGGGTCCTCCGGAGCGGGGTGCTGATCTGGCACGACCTCGCCGGGTGTTGCGAATGAAACTTCCTGGCCCACGGGGGTCTGCAGCTTGACCAGTCGTCGCATCTGGTTGGGAACGATGTCTTCTAGCGTGTCGCTCCGCTGGCCCTGGCCCGGAAGGAGGAGGAGGAGGCAGGAGGGAAGAGAGAGGAGGGAGGAAGGAGGAGGAAGGCAAGAAAAGGGATGATGATGATGATGATGATGATGATGATGATGATGAGGAGGAGGAGGAGGAGGAGGAGGAGGAGGAGGAGGAAGAGGAGGAGAGAGGAGGAGGAGGGAGGAGGAAGGAAAAGGAGGAGGGAGAGGGAGAGGGAGGAGGAGGAGAGGGAAGTGGGGAGGAGGAGGCGGCGGAGGAGAAGGAGGAGGAGAGAAGAAGGAGAAAGGAAAGGAGGAGGGCAGGAGGAGGAGGAGGAGGAGGATGGGGGCAGAGGAGGAGAGGGGGCAGAGGAGGAGGAGAAGAGGAGGAGGAGGAGGAGGAGGAGGAGAAGGAGGAGGGGAGGGGAGGAGGAAAAAGGAGGAGAAGGGAGGAGGCGGAGGAGGAGGAGGAGGAGGAGGAGCGAGGAGGAGGAGGAGGAGGAGGAGGAGGAGGCGACGTGACCAGAAGTGACCATGAAAGGACGAGCGTCCGCAAAACAAAACGGGTTGGGCGGGGACTAATCAGACGATGAGTCCCCGCCATCACGGTGAGGGATCCTGGTGGGTCGGCGGGCCACTCCACCCACACCACCCTCACACAAGGGGCGCTGCTGCATTCCCCTCTCCTCCCGAGCCTCCCTCGCACGCTGGACCGCGTCCGAAGCTTCACGCTGCACTCTGGCCAGCTGCACAGCCTTCGGGGGTCCCCTGTGCGAGGGAAAAATGCCTCGACGGATCCTGTCAAGGTTCTGGGCTCCTTTGGGGGAGGGCTCCTGGCAGGGTCGTGCGAGCCACCTGCCATCCACTGTGGCGGTAAGCCCACAGCAAACACAAAAATGCAGGGAAAACTCAGGCCAGTAGAAGATTTTGTGGGACGAGTGGGCCGAGGTGGCCCCAATCAAAATCTCACCAGTCCTCAAGACAAATTGGCTCCACTCCGACTTCTGGCCTCGGACTTCTGGGGCCAGACCTGGACAAGACTGGGCACAAAACTTGAGAAGCTGGGTAGAGGCTACAATCTGACTGCAAACCCTACAGCGCCACCTGCTCCCGACCTGCTCACAATCATGAGAGGTGTCCCTCAGGGCAGCAGCCTTCCTGGAGGGGGGGGGAACCCGCACTTTGGCGAGCCTAGTGGCCTGCCAGGGGTCTACCTGGAGTGAGCACAGCAGCGCACGTCGGGCCCTGCGTCTGACAAGGTGGGCGATGCAATCATAGATGTCGGTACTGGGGGCAGGCTGGCGAGTATACAGGAGCAAGGCCTCGTCCGCCGCTTTACCCGCTAGGTCATCCGCGCACATGTTGCCAGCAGTGAGGAACACTTGCCTAGCACTGAGAGCCTTGCCTGTGTCCTCAAGATGGGCAGCCGTCCACACGACCTGTACTTCAGCCACCCCCCGATTTCGCAACGCCACCGCCACCCTGAACCACAAGTCCTGATTCGGGCCTAACTTGCCGTGGGCACGACCCGCTCTCCAACCATCCAGGACAGGCTGGCAATCAGTGACATAAATGATGGGTCCCGTGGTTTCTTCCAGCGCGATGGCGAGCGCAGCTATCTCCGCGCGCGACACAGTCTGCCGCGGCCCCAGGAGGGGGGACGAGACTCCCGAGACCGGCTCCCAGGAGCCATCATCAGCCCGACGAATGAGGGCAACTCCAGAGCCACAGCGCCTGCGTCTCGGGTCGCTGCTGTATTTCCCCCCTGACCCATCTCCAAAAATGTGGGGAGGGTCCTGGCCAGGGGCTACACAAAACTCACTGAGGCGAGAGGAGCCGTAGTACGTGAGAGGAGGGGCCTCAAGAGGGTCAAGGAAGACGGGGCAGGTGAGGTCTCTCGACGGGACTCCTCTCAGCCATAAAGAAGGGTCTGCTTCCCACTGCGCCGTGGCTTGGGAAACCAGTGACTGCGTGCTGCTAAAATCTTGGTGATCTACGTTACACACGCATTGCCATATTCTGTGAAACAAGGTCTCAGGGGCCGCCTTGCACCTTGGACAAGTTACGTCAACCGTGTAGCCACTGTCGGCTTGGCGCTGACGTGGCCATTGGCCCCCCGAGGCCACGCGCAAGGTGAGGCCCCACAGATCCGACTGACCCCGAGACTCGAAGCGGCGGAGTTCCTGCTGCAGTGGGAGGAGATCGGCTCCTTCTTTCAAACTGTCACCTGCCTCGTGCCCTGCAGCACCTTGCCACAACTTAGCCTTCATGTCAGAAACGAACTCATGCAACAAGTCTGCATGGTCAGAAATCGGGAGTAAATCATAGTCTGGGTCGCCCATTCGTGGGAACCTCCACGCATGCTCCGCATGGTCGGGTCGTTCCCACAGGTCGGGTTCCCTGGGCTCCCATCCTGCTTCAAGAAGGGTGGCCTGGACTGCAGCTATGGGCCCCCGAATGCCTCTCCACCTCTTGGCACCAAGCGAATCGAGCTGCGACCGAACGATACCCCACGACCGTCGAATACGAGGCTGGAGGGCGGGGAAGCGCTTCCACAGCTGCAGCCAGGCGTCCACCAATTGGCAGCGCAGTTCCAGGGCGGGATCTCCATCCCCCAGCACAGTCTGCAGAACAGTTGTTAAACATTTGCCCTTACCCATTCCCGAGACCGTGCGAGCAGCTTGTCGCCTAAGAAGCAGGACCTGACTCGGTGGCACACCATAAACTTGATGGCCAAAGCTGGCCTGTGGTAAGGCTCCCGTGCGCCAAGCGCCCTGGGTGACTTTCCTCAAACCAGCCAGCCTGCGCATCTTCACAATCCTAGAAAAACGCCCGCTGGCTTTCGCCATTCTCTGGCGTGCCTTCTTCCGTGTCCGAAAGCGACCTGCCGCAGTGTCTACACCTAAATCAACTCCAACAGAAGCAAACCTAGCGGGCATCCCTCGGGCTCTGAAAATTCTGGCAATGTGCTTCCCAAGCTCAGGAGAGGACGCCAAGACAACCGTTTTGTCCGAGACAGTGAGCCTCTTGAGTCTGAATCCCTCCGAGAAAGCTTCAGCTAAACCTTCCATCTCCGAAACGACAGTGGCCTGGGTGCCCTCGGATCTTGCCACAGTGTCATCGACAAAGGTCCATAACGAGGCCTGAGGGGCTCTAATGTGCGCAGCCTCCAGCACAGAATGCAAGAACACTTTTCCAAGGCAAACTCCATGCGACGACCCAGCCACAATCGAGCGGCCTGGGCAGAACGGCTCGCTGATGACCGAGCCCTCCTTGAGGATGCGCGGCGCCATGGAGAGCAGGATCTCCATGAGCAGCACCGTGGGAGGGAAGTTGAGCCCCCGCGCCGCAACCACCAGGAGAGTGAAGGAGATGGAGTCGTAAAATTTGGCAATGTCCAGCAGAACCGTCGCCGTTGCCTTGCCTGTGGTAGCAGAGGCCTCATCCATGAGGCTTCTCGTCATCGCAGCTCTCAGGGCGCTGCTGCCTCTGATGGCCGTGTCCCAGAAAGCAGAAAGTCCATCTGACCAACTGGAGGTGACCGAACTGCGCGCCTGGCTCCACGTCTTGCAGCATTGCGGCAACATGCCCAGTACTCTCGTGCCTCCAGCTGGCTTCGGAATAACCGCACAAATAGTAGCTAACCACGCTGTCGGCCAAGTTTGCAGTAGCTCCGCTTGATTGAGGATACACGTGAGCTCCGTCAGTCCAGCTTGAGGCATGCGTTGAAGGTCAACTGGGCCCAAGCCATCAACTCCTCTAGCTTTGTTTGGCGATTGTCGTCTAAGTATCGATTCAATCTGTCCTTCATTCAGTGGTGGCAAGGGATCATCGCGAGCATCCCTGGCCAATCCCTCCAAAGTCCATAGCAAGTGCTCCCTGCTGTCATTATCTTCCTGCCACACTGCCTGCCAGAAGTCCTTCTTCGTGCGAATGAGAACGCAAGGGTCTGCGGTGCCCACTCCATCTCTGATGATCTCACGAGGAAGTGGGTCAGGGGGAGGAGCACGAACGTGACGATGAATAGCGCCTGGCCTCTTAGCCCACATCTGCTTTGCCCAGTCCATGAAGGCTTGGCGAGACTTGACTAAAGAGCGCCCCTGGGCGCGGTCGACCCACGTGTTGGTGTGCACCTGGGGCTGCTCCAACTCTGTCTGGCTGAGGTGCGGCACCTGCAGGGCAACGTCCTTCCACTCCTGCACAGTGGTGGTCAAGGCCTTTTTCCCGAAGAATTCCTGCTGCTTGGCGTCTGTCAGGCCCTGGACCATGGACCGAAAGCCCGCGAGGCACTTCTCCGCCTCTGGAGGGTCCCTGCCTGAGCGTGTCAAGGCCACGCCTCGAGCAAGCAGCGTGGAGGCGATCCCCCACCATTCTGCAACAGGGTCGCACATGTGAGGTCGACCTGGGGCAGGGCGCATCTTCCTCCATGAAATTGAATACCCTTGCCCTCTGCCGAAAAACACATCGGGGTCCTCCACATCGCTGACCGCAACAATAGACCGCTCCAAGGTAGTGACCCATCGTCCATATCGATTATCCAAGGTAGAGCGTTGAGTGGGCCTCCAGGTCGACAGGGGGCCTGTCGACAACTGTGCTGCCGCTGTTCGTGGTCTGAAGGTATCCTGCTCCAATTCGCCATAGATCTTGAGCCATTCTTCCTGCTCCAACTTGAACGCGACCTTGGGGCCTTCTGGCTGTGGCTCCTGAGATGGCAGGTCATCGAAGGCCTCGCGTAGCTCTTCGGGGAGTTCCTGTCTGCGTGCATCCGCCACCTGCTTGCGCTTCTGGGATCGTTTGCTGTCAGGGTTTGGCTCTTGCTGAGGGCGGTTGGCCCTGGGTAGCGGTTCTGGAAGTTCCAACGACCTATGCCACCAAGTGCGCTTGGCGTCCAGCACATCAATGGCAATAGCGCAATGAGTCTTCCAAGGGACAGCTAAAACCTGCCTGAGCCTGATGCGGTCCGAAGTAAGCTGCTTAGAGACAATGGCATAATCATACATGCGTCCCT